AAAGTTCATTTATTAAGGATAAGTGTACAGTTCCAAAGCATTGCTAAGACTGAGCAAAAGCGCGCCAGAAGCTGTTTTTCTTACTTTACCCCCCCTTCACCACCTTTAATTCTTGGTCTTCTGATTCCCTCGCTGGTATGACCTTGCACATTCCAGTGCCTGTGATAAGGAGCCATCTGCTTTTAACAATTTCTCATTCCTTCTCCCCCCCTCCCCTTTTACAATGGCAGAACTGCAGCATGTAAAAAGCAATTTCTAAACTAGCCATGTAACAATCTATTATAAAATCTTGCGAGGATTCTGACAATAGCCCTGACTGCACCTCCAGGCTCGTCTGGTATGTTACCAACTCCCTTGGGTGTCTGTGTGGAATTGATTGATTGATTTGTAGAATTGATTGATTACATGCCATCAAGCCAGTGTCAACTCTCAGCGAGCATATAGATAGATTTTCTCCATGAGGATCTGTCCCCAACCTGGTCCTTCAGGTCTTCCAATGGTGTCCCCATCACCACTGTAACTGAGTCCATCCCCCTTGCTGCTGGTTGTCCTCTTCTTCTCTTTCCTTCCACCTTTCCTTAAAGCTTTCTCCAAAGAGCTGGGTCTTCACATGATGTGTCCAAAGAAGGATAATCTGAGCCTGGTCATTTGTGCCTTGAGTAAGACCTTTGGGTTGATTTCTTTGATGATCCACCGGTTTGTTTTCTTGGCTGTCCACGGTATTCTCAGGAGTCTTCTCCAACCCCAAAGTTCAAAAGCATCAATACTTTTCCTATCCTGCTTCTTCAAAGTCCAAATAATATATAAGTAATAAACATTATTATTAATGAATACATACAAAGGGGAGCCAGACTGGAGCTGGTTGGGAGAAACAGCACTGGTACGTACAGCATTTAAATCATGGCCGTACAGGTAGTCCTTGAGTTACAACTGCAGCTGGGACCAGGCTTGCTTGTTGGTTGTCATTAAGCAAGCGGGAAGTGGAGGGAGTCCCAGGTAAGGACCGCTGGGGTACTGCAGGGTGCTCAGTGCGGCATGAGGTCAGAAAGGCCAGGGAAAGAGGGCATGGGGTTGTGCGTGCGATCACAGTTCAGCATATAGTGAAAAGCTGGAAGGCTATTTCTTCGCAGGACGACGACTCTCCACACTCGAACAAGCAGCCGAAGAAGATATGGTCTTCCCCTTGGCATACAGCCAGGTCTGAGTAGCCACTGGGCCCTTGATGCAAGACCCAGGGTCAGCTCCAGGAGTCTCTCTGCAACGGGCAGGTGTTCAGGTAGATGCCCAGATCCACACGCTTCTTTGGGTTGGTGGGATGGGAGAAGATCAACCACGACTTGGGGCTCTTTGAGGAGGCAAGGGGAGACTTAGCCCCCAGCTCTAGCGGAGGAAAACTCACCACACTACCTTGACAGCCATGAGAGGTCTCCTGCAGCTTCGGAGACTGGAAGGAGTCCTCAAAGAAGCATCCACCATCTCTGCTGAAGGCCTCAACCCAGTATCTGTCAGGGCTGCGGGCATTACAGTATAACACTGGATTATGATGCTGGTCCACCAGTTCGGCAATTTGGCACTCTGAGGCCCGCAGTGTTTTGAGAAGTTGGCCCTTCAGCCAAGTCTGCCCACCATCATCACTGTAGAAGGTGAAGGAGTGAGGTTTGGTGTAACAGCAGAGCGGGTGCCCTAAGAAACGCTTGTGGATGTAGTAAGCATAGGCTGGGACAACCAGCCGCCCTGAGCTCAACTGCACCCCGTGGCCTGGTCCCACAGCAAAAGTGGCCCTGTGTCTTACATCATCTCCAATCACCTGTTCCGTCAAGTCCATCATTGGACTCCATGTGTGTCCTCCATCTTTGCTGAAGATGTAGCCCAACCTGGCTGCATTCCTCCCTGTCTTGATCTGAAGTCCTTCTGAAACATTGGCTTCCACACAGATGAAGAACAAGAAAATGGTGCCTTGCTTTGCATCGTACACAGGACACGGGTTCATGGTGCGATATTTGGGCAGTACAGCTGTCTCCAGAGTCTGCTGGGGACCCCACTAGAACAAGAGAAGGACCATGTGTGTTTCTGGGGTATAGCTAGAGTACAACAATATCCTTAGTAGGTACCTACTGATGTAGCCTCTGTTGTCACACAGAAGCTGACCCTAAGTTTAAATAATTGATTCTTTTGGACGTCCAATGCAGGATCCCTTCCAGCTCCTATACTGTAGATCCCTTGAGTCCTCCAATAAGAATATCCCACCTCTATTTGTGGACTTGTTCTAGCTTTTATTTGCATCACTGAAAAACAGCCCACAAGCAAACCCTAAGCTGTTGAACTCAGTAGGATGAATCTTTCTAGTTCCTGCAGGGGAAGTTCATCAGAGCTAGTAGACTACAGAATGAGAAGTTTCTTTAAAGAAGCAGCAGACATCGAGGATGGAGCACACCCTTAAACAACTCTCCCCTTTCCTGGGTCAGACGTCTCTGCCCACAAGAACAGATCTGCACTTTCTGCTTGGCCCTAGAGTGCAGGAAGGGATGATGTAATGGATTCCTGACTCTGAGCCCATTAAGCTGTGTGGACTTCAACTCCCAGAATTTCCCAGCCAGCTGGCTGGGGAATTCTGGGAATTGAAGTCCACACAGCTTAAAGTTGCCAGGTTTGAGAAACACTGCGCTAGACTATTAGGTTCTTTGTGTTTTTTATAATCTAGCAGTTGATCTTACAATGCCATTAAGTCACTTAATTATCCTCCAACACAGAAGCTGTTGCTCCTCTGCATTTTTTCAGTTTCTGCCCAGACTGGGTGAAGCACATGCCTCTTCCCTTCCCACCCTCTTCCCACAGAACTGCAAGGCTTCATTCTTTCCCCTTTCCTTTTTTTAAAAGCATCTTAAGTTGCGACACGGAAATGTGGCTCCTTGCTTCGGTGATGCTCAACTGCCCGTTCCTCCTTGCTGCCAAGTTTCCATGGCCCTCCAGAGCAACGGAACAACCCAAGCAGAGCCTCCTCCCAGTGGCTTGGATTCTCGGGGCAACGATGCGACCCCCAGGGGAAAATGAAAAAAGTTTGGGTCTCCTTAGTGTCCAAGGAGATAATGTGGAGGGGAGGGGTGAAGGCAGCTCCATGTGCAGACTAAAGGCAAGGCACAAGGAGGGGAAAGTCCCCAACAGGAGATGGCAGGCACTTAGCAAGATGTGTGGACCAACTCCCAGAATCCCCTGGCCTGGGCTAACCCTAACCCTAAACTTAACCCTAACCCTAATCACTGCTCTACTCATGTCAACTGATGTCTGTTATTGGGACCACCGGGAGGCATCACAAGACTAGTTTCATCCTGGTTGGGAGTCTTCAGAGGCAGGTAGTCAGATCTTATTCTATGGGATTCAAACCCTCTACTGGGAATGGAACTCATGGTCATTGCATTTCAGATGACTATATAGAGTGCATTATCTTTAGGAGCTATCCAGGCCCTGGTGCTCAGCAGTACAGGAAGAGAGATCTAGGGGCGCTATCAGAATGGTATCTGCAGCCAACTGATCTCTGACTCCTGTGCACTCCCCAAGCTGCCTTCTCCCCTTGTTGATTCCCAGGTGGACAAAGGGGTGCCATAACGGCCATAACTTTGGGGACTGGTCGTAAGTCCCTTTGTTCAGCACTGCCATAACTTCAAACGCTCACTGAACAAATGGTCGTAAGCCAAGGACTACCTGTAATGTCAGTGTCAATTGCACCTCCAAAGGGAGGCCGTGCCAGAGGGTCAGGCTCATCACATAAAAACAGTGCTTCTAGGTTTTGCCCCCCAAAGTGGGGGACAACCAGCATCTTTTCCTGGTCTGATCAAAGTGGTCGGGCCAACTCAAATGTCCACTGTCCCTTGCCCCTAATGCTGAGCTAACTGCAGCCTTCCTCAACCTAGTTGCCTTCCAGATGGGTTGAACTTCAATTCCCATCATCCCCAGCCAGTAGAATGATTACTAAACAGTACAGCTGGATCAAAATCCATTGCCAGACTCTGAATCCTAGTCTTCCAGTAAAATCTGACACTTTCCAAGGCCCGAGGAGACCTTTTTAGAACCTAATGAAAGGGTCCACGTTGTTCCTTTACAAAATCTCTGCAGAAGGGGCAGAATTCTCCCAATGAATGATGGGAACCAGAACAGGACCGGCAGCTGCTTCTTTACCTGGACCGAAGTTCCTTCTTTCAACCCTCGCTTCATCACCAGACACTTTGCATCGCTATCCCTGGGCGTTGACCGTTGCTCTGCAAAAGCTAAGAAAGCCGATTCGGAGGCAAGGAATAGCAGGGCTGGGATGCGGTAGGTCAGCCCGTGCAGTGCTTGCTGGCAAAATACAGTTACCTTCTTAGACCTGAGTTCAGGCTCGGCCATCCTGCCGCTGAAGGGGGAGAGGGGGATTAAGTAAAATCACCTAAGGAAAGATGAGAGCTTGAAGTTCCAGATCAACCGGCTTATAACAAGCAGGACCTCTTCAGACGGGCTGGACAAGGCAAAGAGCTTGAAAACTGCAACACTGAAGGAGGATTTAAGAAAATAGACAGCTCCTGCAAAAGTAGAGGGGAAATAAACTCATTAAAGTTAAAAAACTGAAGATTGTGCCCCTTAAATCTTCCAAGGTACATACACACAGTGTACATCACTGTTAGTGTAAGGCAGTGCTTCCAAAACTTTTCCTTCCCTTATCCAAAACTCAAGAGGAAAGGAGGGCGTGGTGCGTGTGAGCGAGCAAAGGAGGAGGAAAAGAGGGCATTGGTAGGTGGGTGTGAGAAAGCAAAGGGGGGAAGGGGGGTGCAGTACGTGCGAGTGAGCAAAGAAAGGCCTGAGGGGGTGGGGGAGGCATACCCAAGCAACTCGCAACCTCCCCTGCCAGTTTCCCCATTGAATTTGCTTGTGGGAAGCAGACAGGGAAGGTTTCAAATGGTGATCACGTGACTGCGGGATACTGCAACCGGTCATAAGTGCAAGCTGGTTGCCAAGTGCCCAAATTTTGTTCACGGGACTGCAGGGGTACTGCAACAGCTGGAACTTTGAGGACTGGTCATAAGCCTCTTCCTTCAGCACTATTGTAACTTTGGTCGCTGAGTGAATGGTCGTAAGACGAGGACTACCTGTGTTATAAAAACAATATAATTGAATGATCTTTATGTCATTTCAACAAATTACCATTGGTAATTTCACTGATTTTCATCTTAATATGAATACTTTGTCAGGTTTTCGAATATATTTTAGTACACGTGGCAATCTTGAAGTCAATTTAAATGTCCCTGTTGTAAATGGGTTTGTATGTCACTACCCAAAGAAAAACCACTTTTATCCAATTTTGGATAATTTACCCAGGTTCGGGAAGCACTGGTATAAGGTGTCTAACCCTAATTTCTATCCTGTAGTCCCAAATGTACATTAGGGCAAATCTGAATTCCTTCATTGCTGATCACACAGTTTGCAATACAATCTTTTCCTTTATCTACACCAGTGTTTCTTAACCTCAGCACCTTTGAGATGTAAGGGACTTCAATTCCCAGAATTCCCCAACCCATGCATGAGCTGGGGGATTCTGGGAGTTGAAGTCCACACATCTTAAAGGTGCTGAGGTTGAGAAACACTGGTCTACCCAGAAGGAAGTCATACAGTCTTGCGTGAAGCTTATCTGGCTATAGAACTGCAAGACATTGAATAGTTTTTGGAATCATCTGCACAAACATGAGTTATTTTTAATTTGGATATTTTATTCTATCTAGCCAAATGTTCACTCAAAAATGCCCAAGGCCTAAACAGGGTAATCATTGCACCCAGAAGCTAAAAACTCGGGAAATCAGAAAGGAAAGTCAAACAAGGGGAAAAGGATGACTTTGATCTTGGGAATTCTTTTATTTTTATATATATATATAATCTTTATTAAAGTTTTTTTTAAAAGATAAAAACTAATACAAACTAATATAAAGTAAGAAAAAGAAAAGAAAAAGAAAGAAATCAAAGAGAAAGGTAAAAGTGCGAGAAAGAAAAAAAAGAAAAGAAAAATAGAAAAGAAAGAAAAAGGATAAACTAATACAAACTAATATAAAGTAAGAAAAAGAAAAGAAAAAGAAAGAAATCAAAGAGAAAGGTAAAAGTGCGAGAAAGAAAAAAAAGAAAAGAAAAATAGAAAAGAAAGAAAAAGGATAAACTAATACAAACTAATATAAAGTAAGAAAAAGAAAAGAAAAAGAAAGAAATCAAAGAGAAAGGTAAAAGTGCGAGAAAGAAAAAAAAGAAAAGAAAAATAGAAAAGAAAGAAAAAGGATAAATCTTTGGAATTCTTTAGCAGTTGTAAAGAAATGCAAAAGATGAGGTTCTGGGTAGGAATTAGAGACAACCGTAGGAAATAAAATACAGAAAGTGGTGTGAAAATCAGATATTTACAGTTCAGTCTCCAATATGATTTTCTAGGCAGTGGAAGGGGAAAAAAACAGCCAGAAGGGACTCTTTGCAACCCAACTTCCATCTCTCTCTTTCTCGCGCACGCACCCACACACACACACTCCAGCATCCGCTTTATGGTGTCCTAATACAGCGATGCTTTGCATTTTTCACGGGGGGGAGGGAATTCCTTTCGGTGGGTTGAATCAGGAGAAACGGTGGACGCATTGGCGTGGGGAATGGGCGCAGGGAGGCGAGAGGAGAGCTAGACTCTATTTTCAAGGCAAGCACGATAATCCTTTCCTCTATTTTCTGCCTTTTGAAAAGCCCCAAGTGGGAAGGCATATTTTCTTAGCCCTGCGATACGACACAATGGAAAGGACGCTGCCTGGACCACCTCTCCCCCCACTCCCTCTTCCTTGTCTCTCTGACATCCCCATCACTCACCAGGCAGAGCAGGGAAGGAGCTGGGTTTGTGGGGACGTGGGGCAGGCTGGTTCGGTTCTCTCTTCTTAGCGTCCCTGTTCCTAATCTCCAGCGAGGCTGTTTCGCAGAGGGAGGCTCCTCTGCACCTGCCTGCAGAGCAGACGAAGCTGAGCCTTTTTTCCCCATTCTCCTCCTCCACAGCCCAGAAATGATGAATGCCGCTGATGCGTGATGTCATCAGAGGAGAAGGTAAGGCACCTCCCTTATAACGAGGTGCCCACACCTAGGCTATCATGGCTAATCTGGAAAAAAAAAAAAGGATAACCTGATGGAGACCTGATTACTACTAGAATGGGAAGCCCCAGGAAATCTGTAATCTAGGTCAGGGTTTTTAGAACCAGAGGTCACCCAATGAATCCTGGAAGAATCAGGAAAGACAAAAGGATTTTTTAATACACATACACATATACATATACAACACGCAATTCAACTTTGGAATAGGCTGCCACGAGATGCGGTCCTAGCTGTCAGCTTGTCTGGCTTCAAAAAGCAGTTGGACCGATTCATGGAAGTCCTGGGGATCTGTGGCTCTTATCCTGGATGTGATGGGACCACCAGTGAAGGCCATCTGCTGGGAGACAGGTGGGCTTCCTTGGGCAGTTGGTGGCCCATTGTGAGAACAGATTGCTGGACGAGATGGGCCAGGGGTCCCATCCAGCAGAGCACGGCTTATGTTCTTACATGAACTGTGTTCCATGGAACTCTAGTCTGGGAGAATTTGAGTGCGCAGAAGAAAAAGTTCACTCTAACCCAGCCAGTTTTCTATACCTGGAGCTTTACGTCTTGGTCAAGGCTCCTGGGATTAATATTTTTAACTGGCAGGTGCTGAAGCCTGAACACTTCTGAAAATCCCTGTACGGAGAAGTTGAACAATATTCCAGAAGAAGACAGAGGCAAATCATGAGTTGCCTGGAAAACTATACACAAGACCGCAGGGGCTGAGCTTGACTTGAGGAAGTTCAAAACCAACATATATAATACAAAATATGACAGGCCCCAGAGCTTTATAATGCTAGAGCAGTGTTTCTCAACCTTGGCCACTTGAAGATGTGTGGACTTCAGCTCCCAGAATTCCCCAGCCAGAAGGGCTGGCT